TTAGGAAGAAGTGAAACACCTGCTGGAAAACCCTCAAATTCAACACTGTTTATTTCCGGGGGGCGTGGCCTGTTGAGCTAACTGTGTGTGGCTAACTGAGACATTAAACAGGAAAAAAACAAAGAAGTTTTTAATAATTAAAAATAAGTTGTTGACTGGGGAGATTGAACAGTATTAATTTAATTTAGTAAATTCATCGAGCGGCTGAAAAACATTAAGGTAAATGAAATGCTAATTCTGTCTACACGTTATTATGCTAACGGTTGTGCTAACGAGATGCTAACTGTATGCTAACGGTGTTTCTCGGCTCAGAATGACTGTTTTATCAGTTTTTATAAGTTACAAAAATTAAACTTTTATATTTTACATCTACTTTTAACCATTGTTCTGCTAATTTAGCTACAGTTTTATTAATGTTATCTTCAGCAAGTGGTTAGCCTACTTTTAGCTACTGTTTTATTGATTTTTAGCACGTTTTGCTCCTTTTTATTTACAGCTTATTTGCAAAATTTTGTTTTAGAAACTGTTTTTTTTACTTTGACATTTTGCAGTTTTAACTTATTTAGCTAATTCTCTTTGTTTTCTTTTTAAAACTTGAATCCAGCTGTTTATTTTCTGATAGGTTTAAGAAATGTGACGCAGGACTGGTCTAATTACAGACCGAGATAAATAAAACAGTCTGTTTTGTCCCATTAAAATAAGCTTTATTTATAAAACCACAGGACTGAAACTGTACGGTGACAGTCAATAAAACACAACAGCCACATAATCCATAATAAAAACCTAAAACATTCAGATTATTTTTAGAGATTCTTATTAAGAATAATCTTATAATTAATAAATCTGTGTGACGGGCTGACAGGTTCAAGTGAATCAGATAAATTTGAAGTTTTGCAGTTTGGACTCCTTCCTGCCACCAGAGGGCAGCAGAGATCCAAAGAATCACTTTGTTTTCTTTTGTTTTCTTGAAATCCTGTTTTTGGCATCTTGTTCTCAGACTGCGGTTGATTCACTGGGAGCCTGTCGGGTCTTGATCCGACATGTTTTCCCAACACATTAAAATCTCATTAGAGCAGCTCTGAACCTGCTCCTGCTGCACCCGGCCGCGTCTTGCTTTATTACAAGTGGCATCAACAAAACACTGGCTGCTAAGGCCGGTATGCTCCCGCTGCAGAACAAAAACAGGATCTGGTGACGATCAGGAACAGTTTATTTCTATCAGGACAACAAAAAATCTTCTCTCCAGTAGAGATTAATGAAGTCATTCCAGTGTCRGAGCTGGGAATGTTGAGCTCATCCTCCTGGATTTTTTTTTACACTTGATCATTTGTTTGAGTTAAAGATGCAGAGCTRTTTGGAGAACGCAGAGGAAGTAAACCACATCAGAGAGCGTCGTTAGTTCCACCTGTTGCCATCAATCAGTCCTTTCATTAAACATATCTGCAAACACATCTTCTGTTGGTTCATTTACAAGTTTCTGCTGTGGAAAACACCTGAACCAGGAGCCATTATTATGTTTGTCCTCAGGTTTTCAGGACACGTGTCCCCGCCTCCTTTCAGTGTCTGGGCTAAGCTAACGTTTAGCTAACAGACAGTCCTGAACTTCACAGAAACATTTCCTCGTTTTTATTTAACTCTAAACATAAACAGTTTCATAAGATGATGGATTTCAGGTCCGCCATCTTGTTTTAGTCATCTCTGCAGCTCTGTGTTGGTGGTGTTTGGACCATATTTAGACCAGATTTAGACCAGTTTTGCACCAGTTTTGGACCAGGTTTAGACCATGTTTAAACCAGGTATAAACCAGTTTTGCACCAGGTTTAAACCAGCTATAGACCAGTTTTGGACCAGGTTTAAACCAAATTTAGACCAGATTAGTACATGTTTAGCACCAGGTTTAGACTAGTTTAGGACCAGGTTTAGACCAGGTTAGTACCAGTTATGCATCAGGTTTAAAATAGGTTTAGACCAGTTTTGGACATAGTTTAAACCAAGTTTGTATCAGGTTTAGACCAGCTTTGCACCAGTTTTTGACCAGGTTTAGACCATGTTTAGACCAGGTTTAAACCAGGTTTAGACCAGTTTTGGACCAGGTTTAGACCAGTTTTGGACATAGTTTAGACCAAGTTTGGATCAGGTTTAGACCAGGTTTAGACCAGCTTTGCACCAGTTTTTGACCAGGTTTAGACCAGTTTTGGACCAGGTTTAGACCAGGTTTAGACCAGGTTTAAACAAGCTATGGATCAGTTTTGGACCAGTTTTAGACCACGTTTAGACCAGGTCTGCACCAGTTTTGGACCAGGTTTAGACCATGTTTAGACGAGGTTTAAACAAGCTATGGATCAGTTTTGGACCAGTTTTAGACCAGGTTTAGACCTTTTAGACCAGGTTTAGACCAGTTTTGGACATAGTTTAGACCAAGTTTGGATCAGGTTTAGACCAGGTTTAGACCAGCTTTGCACCAGTTTTTGACCAGGTTTAGACCAGTTTTGGACCAGGTTTAGACCAGGTTTAGACCATGTTTGGACCAGGTTTAGACCGTTTAGACCAGCTTTAAACCAGCTATGGATCAGTTTTGGACCAGTTTTAGACCACGTTTAGACCAGTTTTGCACCAGGTTTAGACCAGTTTTGGACCAGGTTTAGACCAGTTTTGGACTAGGTTTAGACCATGTTTAGACCAGGTTTAAACAAGCTATGGATCAGTTTTGGACCAGTTTTAGACCACGTTTAGACCAGTTTTGCACCAGGTTTAGACCAGTTTTGGACC